TTTGTTAGTAAAAACAAAATATTTCTCTGGGCTACATGCTACTAGATGGAGGCTTGGACCCACTGCCTCCCAAAGATGGCAGAAAACATGGCTCCCTGAACTTAAGGTGAATTACCCCTTCCATTTTGAAATGCTGAGGTGGGTGGAGCCAGTAGCCAAAGCTGCTGTTTTGGTCCTAATAATAATGTAGTTTAAAATAATAGATTCACAATGAATCAGATTCAGATAAAATAAAACTCTAAATGGTTTACAATGTGTCTAAAAATATGTGTAGGCTTCAAAAGACAGAAGAAAAGGAATATATGCAGTTATATAAAGAAATAGAAAGTTTTAAAAAATAAAGTCTTTAAAGAGAAAGTAAAAGTAACATAAAAAATGAGTCACGTGAAGATGGAAAGAGCACAAAGAGCACAGAAAGTCTAGATTTTATTGTCTTTGGGATTTTTAACTGCAGAAAGACATATGATTTTAAAAGCTGTGGAGTTAAGCCAACACATATATTTTAAAGGTATCTGAACTTCAAAGTTTATGTCTAAGGATATGTTACTTTGAGAAAGAGTTTCAGCTCTTTTTTTTCCACAGAAGATGATAACCTGTGGATTGATTCCAGGCCAATATGATTTGACCAGCCAAATTCTACTGAAAGTTCTCCAATGACACCATGGCCCAGATCATCCAACATCTAAAATCAACTTCAAGGAAATTGGTTCAGAAAAGACAGCTTTCCAGACTACTCCAGTCAGGACTTGAACATAATCCTAAAATGTTCTTTATATCCCCACAAGAATATAGTGCCCTTTATTAGTTTGAAGAAAACTATTCTCACATTCCCAAAAATGGATTATGGATGTTTGTCTTTGTTTAGGTTTTTTGTTAAAAAATTGTATATCTCTATCTCAAAGAAAAAAGGGAGATATGAGATAGATAGGATGGGATGAAAGGGTAGATTATTGAATCTACTTTTAGAGACCAACTTGCTTAAAAATGTTTTAAATTGGTATGGATTTTAGTTTATTAATACAAATTTAAAGTTAATTTTGTTATATATACTCCCATTTAAGGTAGTATGCTTATGGAATTCATTTAAATTGTAATGGATAATTAAAAAATACAGATTAATAATTAGTCTTCTATGATAAGAAAACTTATAGTCATTTGTTTTCTAGATATACATAAATATAATTCAATTAGGGAAGTAATCTTCAAACACTTCAAAGACCTAAAGAATACGACATTTAAAATGTTTTAAAAACTTAGACTGTCTGGAAAGTGAATCATGTCTGCTCATGGCAGTACAAATTTACTTCAAAGAGGATAGGCATCAAAGACATGCCATACGAAGTTTATCTTCTTCATGGCAAAGGTTAGCCATTTGGGCAAGAAACTGTTCTTGCCTGGACTGCTTGATAAAATGCCATATAAATTGGACATGCAGGTCCAATAGGAAGGTGGACATTGAACTTTGGAAAAAAAAAAAAGAACTTCAGGTTTCTGCTACACAGAAGAAACTGACAGATATTCTACAAGACACAGAGGGAAAAATGCCTGAAAGACTATGTCTATGGGCTGAAAATGGATGCCCCAAGGTTGCAGAGGAACTTTGGATGACTGTCTAGGCAGCCAGCTGGTTCTGTAAGTCTAGATTTTTGGAAGTTGCTTACAAAGCTCTTCCTGTTTACTTAGGTAAGATTATATCCTTCTGAAGTCTGTGATTTAGTTGAAGACTAGATTATAATTTTTCTTGGTTATAATATAAGATAAATTAGATATGAAACTTTAGACTCACAAATATAGGATAGATAGAATTTTTTTTTAATTTTGCAAAATACAAATAGACTAGATATTATATTTATAATTCTTGCTTGATAAGTATTTTGGCATATGTAATTTAACTATGTTGAGGTTCAAACCTTCCCCTCAAATAGAAAGAAAAGGGGCAATGATGGGTGAGATTGCTCTGTATGCTGGGAACCTGTTGCTCTGATTGGTTGATAAAGAAAATGCTGATTGGCAGTAGCCAGGGGGTATAGGTGGCATAAGCAGACAAGGAGATTTCTGGGAAGAGAAAGGTTGAGTCAGGAGTTGCTAGCCAGACACAGATGAAGGAAGATATCAAGGCAGAACTGAGAAAAGTTACCAAGCCATATGGATAAACATAAATAAGAGCTATGAGATAATTTGAGAGAAAGATCTAGTCAGTAATAAGCCTGAGCTAATGGCCAAGCACGACTAATTAATATAAGCCTCTGTGTGTTTCCTCCTGGGACACAAGTGGGAGAGATTTGTCCCAACTACTGGTGGGCTGGGACACAGGATAACTTTCAGCTACAGCAAAGTTTGTAGTAACTGTTGTTCTATACCTCAGAGTAAGCAGCCTTCCTATAAAAAATAATTTACTGTGAGATCATTGTACTGTAATACAGTCCATTCCCAAAACAGTGAGCAATAATTAATGGTCTTAAACTTATCACTGAAGTTACATGCAGCAACAAGTTGGTCAACAGTGAAAATACTTGTCTTTAAAGATGGGTTAGTTTGTTTCCATTTACTTTATTTTAAATGTGATGCTAGGAATTGAACCCAGGGCCTTGCATATACTAGGCAAATGTTCTAATGTTCTACCAGACCTTCACCATCAACTCTTTATCATCTAAAAACAGGAGGCAGGGCAGATGGCTTTGCCATTTTTATCAGTTATTAATTCCTATCTCTTCATTTTTAGTTGCTGCTCTCACTCCATTTGCCATCAGGTACAGATGGATTCTAAAACTAAATCCGACCAATGTTTTATCAAGTAATCATCTCTTTACAATCTACAGCATCTACCTGTGCTTTATCTATCACATATCAACTTTCTTTCCTCCATTTATCCCATCTTCTCTCATCTAAAATCTATCTTCCATGTGTCATCTCTCAACTATCTACCATCTATATTTCCATCATCTATTGTCTACCATTTATTTTCTAAATATCATTATCTATCTTCTATCATCTAACAACTGATTATCTATCTTCCCTCATGCACTCACTATATTTCTGCTATTTATCTCCTTTTATTTGCAATCAAATCTGTCTAAACTCTATCACCTATCTCTATATGTATATAAATCCACTCTGTATTTTCTGTGTACTATGTATATATCATATTTATATGTCTAATTTGTCTATATAGCACCTACCTTCTATCTACTATATATCACTTATCTTCTATTGCCTATATTTTATGTAATATATAGCATCTGTCATGGATTTATACTTACCTAGCTATCCACTATATTCACACCATCCTGTGTTTTCACTTATTGCACATCAATAATCTGTCCTCTTACTAACCAGTATCTATCTTTCTAGCTATCATCTTTTCTTTAATCTATCATCTGCCTATCCTGTGCTTACATTGAATGTATCATTTATATTCTTGCTAGTCTGTGCCTAAATTCCATTTATTTTCAATGAACTACCTATATATACTGTATACCTCTCAGATATAATATCTTTCATTTATCATCTGTCTTCTAAGTATTCTAAGTCTTTGTTCCATATATTGTCTTCCATTTAACTACCATCTATACTCTAGCTATCCTGTATCTATTATCTGTCTTCTGTCCTCTAGCTGACCTGTGTCTAGCTCTCAAATTTCTGCAATCTGTCATACATATATCCTATGTCTATATTCCATCTGTCTATCTCCATTCTATAACTCTCCTATGTCTAACTATATACCTTCTAGTTATCCTGTATCTATCTTTGCATCTATTCTGTAGTTATCCTGTGTCTACCTTCCATTGATGGAACACCTATCCTTTAGGTATCCTGAGTCTATATTCCAAGTAAGGATCATCTATCCTCTACCTATCCTGTCTGTCTACCATCAATCATTAATCCTATAACTACCAAAAAACTTCCTTCAATCTATCTTTTATCTATCCTTTAGCTATTCTGTGACTGTTTTCCATTCATCATTTTCCATCTATGTAGCATCTCTCCCCCAGCTATCATGTATCTGTCTAGCTTTCCCTTGTCTTTTATCTATAAATCATTCATCCTCAAGATATCCTATGCCAGTCTTCCTGTATCACCTCTCCTCTACCTATCCTGTGTCTATCTTCCACCTCTAATTTATCCTCTAGTGTGTCTATGCCCATCTTGCATCAATTCATTTTACATTTATATATTTTATATCCTCTAGCTATCCTCTGTCTGTTTTCCATCTATCACCTTTCTTCTAGGTATCCTGTAACTGTCATCCATCATCTATATTTTAGCTGTACTATGACTGTTTTTCATCTGACATTTATCCTCAAACTATCCTATGTCTAGCTTCCATCTATCAACTATCTCTTAGCTTTTCTCTATCATATAGCTAGCCATCTTTCATTTCTCTTTCTTCTATATACCCATTCTTTAATTTATCAACTATTCGTTACCTTAGTTCTTCATCTTCTCTTATCTATACATTACCATCTATTGTCTATAATCTACCATCATTTTTGTATCAGAGACCAATAATTTGTCACCTATCAATCATTTGCCATCCTTCATGTGTCTTGGTTCCATTTAACCCTCATGATAAAACATTTCAGTATTTAAAAATATAGCCACTCTGGTCCTATTTATCAATGTAAGGCACAAGGGTATCAGAGATAGTGAACTGTACTATAAATAGTATTACTTGAGAAAATACAAGTAGTTTCATAAAGATCAAGTTAGACAACTAAACTTAAAGACCACAGGTCTTGTACTTGACTACATGACCACAGTCATGTACTTGACTACATGAGTCAAGTACATGTACTTGACTACAAAGACCACAGTCATGTACTTGACTACATGAGTTTAGACAAAACTAAAAACTGATATAACTGAAATACACTATTATCAAATCCACAGCTTACAGTTGGTGAGTTCACCATCCCTGTCTCAATGATAGGTACAATGTTAAACATAACATAACTCAAGATTTTTCCCTTATGGCACAGCACCAGTTGACTTAACCTTACCTCACCACCGACTTGAAGTCAACTGCTCTTATGTTTACTGTATCCAGGCAACCACAGAATGCACAGGTCCTATGTGTTTGGTTGAGAACATAAGACCTATCAACTCTGATTGGTCCAAGACTGTGATTGGACAAAACACAAATTTAAATGACTCTGGTTTCTGTTATGAACAAGACTGTGATTGGTATAAAAATAAAAACTTCAATTACTATGATTGGTCCTAAGTGTCAACGTTGTGATTTTTTTTCAGAACATAATCTTTGATGAATGATTGGTGGTAAGTGGCAATGCTGTAATTGGTCTAAAATATGAGCCTTGATGCTTGTGACTTGTTCTATACACCAAAGCAGTTGGGCTTAATGAATGACTAAGCAGACATTCATAAGTTATTGCCTTTCCTGGTATGTAACACCTGGCCAAACAAAAGATATCTCTTAAGTGATTGTATATATTTTGATTAATATTTTATGTAAGTTTTTTGCCTGATGTATGTATGTGTACCAATGTGTATGCCTTGTATATGTAGAGGTCAGAACAATGTGTTGATCTCCTAGAATTTGAAATAAAAATTGTTGTTAGCCACTATGTGTGTACTGGAAATCAAGTCTGGGTCATTCATTAGGGTAGGGCATCAAGTATTACTAACCACAGAACTGTTTCTCCATCTATCTCAAGTGATATATTCTTGCCTCCTTTTCATAATATAAGATAATAACCCAGGGATAAACCTCAGAGGCAGGATAGTTACAGAAGAGGCAGCCGAGCAGCAGTGACATACGAGGTATCAACAGATTGAAATGTGAAAGCAGCAAGACAGCTTTCTACACAGCTACAGGAAATAAATAGCTGAACAGTTCAAGAGTGGCTAGGGCAAAAAGAA